AATCAATGTTTTACATACGTTAAATGCTCTATTAGGCACCACACCAAGAGAACGACTAACAGTGAATCACAGAGCTGGGGCTCAGACTCAAGTAAATTTTGGAGGAAGGTGCCCTGGTGTCTTCTTGTTCTCTGCATTTTTTTCTACATCTGAAAACGTCCTCATTAAACTTTCCTCTCAGGTGTTTTTTTAGTAACTTGCCCCCTGACCCGGCGTAAACTGTGGCTGTTCCTGTGGTTTATCACCAGTCACTCCAGTGGCACGGACTCTGTTCCGCTTTATTCGTTGCCCGGAGCCCTGGGATCAGGGTGCGCGAGGGAGGCAGAAAGCTCCCATTCTCAGACACACACAGACCTCTAAGGTCTGGTCCTGTGTCCTGTGCAACTCCCCTTCTAGCTGCAGGTTGAACTTCTCTCTTTTGAGAAAACGACACTTAAATCATGGCGCATTCTGCCTCTTGTGATTGCTAATCTCAAAGCTTGGTGGTCTTTGCATTTTAGAAAACTGCTCCTTATGTATCCTTTATTTCTCATAACTCTGGCTCTCGCTCTAGTAAGCGTTGGCCTTCGATATTCTTATTTATGCAATAAGGATACGTAGGAACCAACCAACCATTTGTTTTCAACTCAGTCTATTCCCCTTCTGCGGCAGTAAATGCCCAGATCCCACTCCTTGGCATCGAGGCCATGTGGGAAGGCGGTGGGAAGTTTCAAGTGTCACCCCCAGGGTGTATCTTACCACATTTCTCCCTCTAGGTCCTCTTCAAAGAGTATTTACTTTAGTCCATCTTTAGCACTTCCTTAGAATTTGGCAACTATTGTCCTTGTCTGTTTCTTCAAAACATTCCCAGGATTCAGCAAGATTTTGTGGATAATTGAAAGACTTCTCACCTCCCTCCTCTGGAGTTCACTGTGTATTTAGGTAGAAGGCCTAGGAGGTTTCCTCTGTCTCTTGTGGGTAAATAGTCAATTCCAGATTGTTTTCGTATTCTTCTCCTTTTTTCTCTAGGGGATGACATAGTTTATTTCTTGGAGGAGATTCAGCATACATTGGCATACATTGGCGGGCAGACGCGTCTCCTTCTTTTCCTCACTTTCTCTCAGTCCTGTGCTGGGGTCTACTGCTACTTGCTCATCAGCCTCTAGCCCACTTTGACCCACAATGGTGGGTCATCCCCCTCCACCTTCCCTCTGCCGTGTCTAAGGTCACTTCACATCCTGTTTACCCCACCTGTAAGGTCAGTGCAAATTCCCAACCGGCTCTCTTGTGCTCTTCTTAGGAATACATAAAACTTTGGAAAACTCTTGAAAACTCTTCTGTGCTGGTCCAAGATCGTGAGAGACTTGGGGTGGGGTCTCTGTGGCCGTTTCTAAGAAACATCTCTGATGTAGTTTTCTATTGCTACATGATGACGACTGGTTGGGAACATGCACACCAAAAGGACTTATCTTTGAGGCTTGTGCTCCCTCAGGCTCATAGAAAACTTGTGTCCTCTGTTCCAAGACCCCCACCAAATCCGTCTGCGGTCTGCGTCTACACCATCCAGAGGGCGGCTAGGCTGAGGGCAGGGCACAACATGCCATCTCACTCACCCTCGGTTTCCAAACTCTAGTCACTTCCCCTCGGATAATGCTCTTCCCACTCACTCTTTAAACCTCATCTCCTTTTGTGTGGGAAAATACTCTTATCTCAGCGTGCATTTATCCACAAATTTATCCTTAAGGCTCTATGGCTAGCAGTCTCCAGAGGCTTAGCCTTCTGTTGCTCAAAAACCCTTTGTGATCTCAAAAAGCTTGGCTCTTCCAAGCCTTGGCTTTCTAAATGCCTTGCTCACAGGAGTTTTAACATATCTCATCGGGAACTCAGTTGATTTCCTCTTTCTCGGCTGCGTGTGCCCTCCCCCAGAGGAGGAAAGCCACCTGCTTGATGGGTGGAAATCGTGGCAGAAACCAGAAAGTGCAGGAGGAAAAACGATGGTTATTTTCTCCAAATTATATCCTACAACAAGAGGAATAAGGCAGAGGTTCAGGCACTTGGTAGCTGCTTAAAAAGTATTATTCTCACCCACTCCTCAAATCACTAAATAAGACATCTGTATTATTCCTAAGATCTCTAATGCTTTCCGTAAGAGTCAAATGTCCATCTCTTCTATAGAACATTCTCCCAGAAAACTGGGAATATTTTTTCTTAATAGATGGCCATATATCCTAATCACAATTCCTAAGCTTATAAACAAAGAAATTAAAAGCAACATCAATACAGGAAAAGAAAAATAAATCAACGTATATTCTGAATTCTGCAACTAAAAAAAATCAGAGTAACCTCAAGCCCTACCAAGTCCCAGAGTTAGTGTGACCTACGAGTTAGCTGACTGCTACGAAGGTCCCTGTACACAGATAATACGTCTCTTTTGAGATGTGGTCTGTTTCCTTCTGTCTGCCAACATCATGTATTCATCGGTTTCTACTACTCTTGTCTACAGCATTCTAAACCATGGGGGTGTGCCGTCTCTCTCCTATAGTGCTACTCTCTCCCAGCCATCATCCGGAACAATAGAGACTATATCTGGTTTGTATTAGTCAGGGTGAAAGCTAAGCTGCCATCACAGAGGATTCAAACAATACTGTGGTTCAAAGAAGTTTACTTTTTTCTCATGTGCCAGTCCAGCAGGAAACAAAGGACAAGATAGGTAGGTGACTTTGCTCCATAAGGTCCTTCAGGGACACAGGTTCCTACTATTCCATGGCTCCATAGTCAATGCAATTTTATCCATATCTACCTGGACAAATATCATTCACACCCTCCACATCCTTGTTAAAATTTGCAGGAAGGAAAGAATGGAGCATCAAAGACCTTCTTTTCTAAGGACACAAAGTACGCATCGCATCTATTCCTTTCTATTGGCTAGAATTTAGTCCCATCCCCAATCTTGACTATAAGATGAGAAATACAGTCTCTTGTTGGTAACCAACAGCCCAGCTAAAATTCAGGACATTCTATTATTGAGAGAAATAAGGGGAGAATTGCTATAGTGGGACAAATATTCTGGCACCAGCTGTGGGTGTGAGCAACTGAAGCCCAGAGGTTTTCTCCATGCGCCCGTGAGCTAGGAAAAGTCTTCGAGCAGAGGAACCTCTGGCTCTGTGCTTCTCAACCTTGGCACTTTGACATTTTAGGTAATTCTTTGCTGTGGGGGCTGGGGAGTGGGGCTGTTCTGGGCATTGCAGGGTGTTTAGCAGCATCCCTGGCCTCTAACCACTCCATATTACTAGCACCCGCCACCCCCAGGTGTGATACACAAAAATGTCTCCAGGCATTGCCAAAGATCCCCTGGGAACAAACCAGTCTGACTGAGAACCGCTGTTCTGGCTGCAAGACGCATCTCAGAGAGTGTCTTCTTTTAAGGTGCGTTCCTTTTGTTTTCAAATAAGCTACCCCGGTGTCAGAATTTTCCACAGGAGTCAAGCTAATTGTATTTCCCCATCATTTTCACTCCTTCAACAAATATCTCTTAAGCACACACTAGATACTAAATCACAGACTTCATGAAGCTTGATGGGAAATATGGAGATGAATTAGCAACTGAGTCCTCAGAGCTTCGTAGTCTCATAAGAAAGATAATACGTGAAAAATATTATATGAGCTAAAAGATATATAATACCAATCATACATGACAGAGAGTGAGATGCGTCCCTCACATTGTCAGCTTCTTTAGAACGTGCCTGCTGTCCAGTGAAGCTGAGATGACAGTTTTTCTTTTATTTGCTGTTGGGATGACTGAGTTATCACTGAACCTTGTGTTTCCCCCACATTTTGACCTCCAGATGTCCTTCCATAACCATCCAGAGGCAGACATCACTACCAAGCTCTTCTCTACTAACTTCCCCTAGACAAGGACAAGAAAAGGGGAAATAATGTGGTTGTCCGACAATCTACTTAAGACTAGCACTTCATATTTTAGTCTGGGGTCGTTTGGTTCAAGCAACAGAGTCGCACAGGAAGTACCTTAGGCGAAATGGAGAAACTTGTTAGAGGGTGCAGAGGGACTTCATGGAGCCTGCAGGAAGAAAGTATGTCCAGATTTTACGAGAAACCTTTCCAGTGCTCTCTCTCTAAAGGCTGGTAGAGGACTGCTTTTGCCAGCTTTCATCAAGTTCAGCATGGATAAATCTAGTGTTTATCTTTAGAATGTGGAGACAACATGTATCTAGTGACCTCAGCTTTGGGATTTGAGCTGTAATTATAAGACAACATGAAAATGGCTATAATATGTCTTGTTTTACTTGCTAGTCTGTTTCTTTCACTGTGATATATTGATCTTTAAAATCTGAAATAAAATTGTTTCATTTAGTAGCAGGATAATTTTTGTAACTGGCCATGCAGATGTTAACTACTATATGAAACTTCCATTTTCCATTTTATTTTTTGTCACTTAAAAAATCTAATCAGTATGCTTCCACTAGTTTTACTTATCTTGCCAGACGAGCGAGTGAAGCCGGTAAAGAATTTGTAATAACCAAAGCGTAATTATTAAAGAGCTTCTCTCTTTTAGGTATCCCAGTTTCTGAGTTCTTCTCTTACCCTTGACATTTATACCTTGGAGAATTAGACTCTGGAGATATGGTGGACATGGAAATATCCCTTTCCACTGCACCCCACTCACCCCTAATAAATCATCTCAAGCCCTGTGATTAGGGACTCTGCTCCCAGAGAAACTCCTAAATGGGCAAGGACCACAAAACCCCATCTTCTTGGCCACAGCAGATCGAACTAGGGTTTAATATCTGACCCAATCAGTTTCTCTCTCAAAGAAAGCTCTTGGAGTAGAAGACCAAATAAGGATAACAATCACATGACAAAATTTTTTGTTACGTGATCAGCAAAGAAGACAATGGCCCTCTTCGGGATAGAGCAAAACAAGAGAGTTCTTAGGATACCGGACATATGCCCCTAGAAGTTTGAGTACATATATGAACAGCATGACATAAGACGTTTCTTACCCTGAAGATTGAGCAGATGAGGAGCTTGCTGAATTAGTCCACATCAGTAGACGTGTAAGAAGAAGCCACAGCAGTGTAGCCTTTATCAGCTGGCAAGGACATGTGAGTTTCCCATCAGTCAAGGACATTAGGTTTGAGCCGTTTTACTAGTCTCCAATCCAGAGGGCCATCCTCTAGGTAAGACGATCCCAGGAGCAAGCTGGAGCTGTGAATGATTGGAATAAGTCTGCCAGAAAGCACATGACCCACACGAGACAACTCTATAGTGAGGGCGCTCCCTACTGGCTCTCCAAAGGACTCGTGCTGTGGCCACACAGGCCTCTAAGGAGGCTTGCCACCCCAGGACATGCAAGACCAGGGACTGCTGCAGGGTGAGTTAGGCAAAAATTTGTTGCTTCTTTCTTCTAATCCCATCTCTCCACAACCTGATTTTAGAGGACTCTGAAGCAGAAGGGGGAAGAGAGTATAGTCATAAGGCAGGCAAGGCTTTGAATCAGAATTTCCAGTGAAATTTTTATTTAGGTTGGTCTAAACTTTTAATATTAAAAAGTGATTATTCATTATTGTGATAATATATTCTCATAACAGAATATGACCATACTTACCCATATGATTGCTGACACTAACAGATGTCAGAAGGCCCAAAGAAGTCATTTCCAAAATGTCCTAGCTAGCATTTCCAAAGGAGAGAAGCCTGAGAGCTGAGTTTAGGTGATGCTGACTTCAGTGACTCCTTAGATTGCACGCGATGGATGGAGAGAAGAATGGGAAAACTGCCCGACAGGAGTGTGATATTCTTCAAGAGTGAGGTTGGGTTTTTGGAAAGGTGTAGAGTCTAGGTGATAATTATGAGACAATTGACCCTTTAAAGAGTACGGTTAAAAAGCCATCAGACCATATTAAAGACCTTGTAACCATCATAGTACTGAGTTTGGGGATCCAATGAGACTTGAGAAATTAGAAAGATTAAAAATAGATGTGATGGTCACATACTAAAGAAATGGACTAAATCTGACCAGTATACCTTGATGGTAGTGTGCCCTGGGCTTTCTGGCAGAGTCAATGGTTCTTCGTGTTAGATTTAAAGAATGGCTATTACAAGGCTGAAGGGGATAAAAAGAGTTTACTATTCATTTGTCCAGAGGAAATTTTTTACAGTCTGAAACAGTACATCAGGATTTCTCCAGATATCATCTACCTACCAGTGACTGATGTGGATGGTATTTACATATTTAGATAATCTGATTGTATTCGGAAAGACTTGGGGAGGAAAAAACTGAATCCTTAGAGTGTTAGACTTTCTCCAAGAGGCAGGACAGGGAGTGTTCCCTAAACCTCAGTTCCAATGTTCCTAAGCCTCTGTTAATTATATAGCAGATGTAGTTTCTCATCAGGGGAAATTCTGTCCTTATCTGCTGGCCTCCTCCTAGTAGATTCAGAGACCCGAAGATGCTTTGGAAGTTCAGCTGGGGTTTCAGGCTGTCAGTCAAGGATCACACCTGGATCTGCCTTTCCGGCAGATTTCACTCGTGGGCATTTGGTTAGCACTGAGCTCCCTCCCGCCTGTGGGCTGACGTCCAGGGCAGCTGTGGGAGAGAAAGGGCTGACCCACCGCCTCCTGGGGACCCGGGAGCAGCTCTTCTAATCCCTAGACCAGCGTTTCTCTCCTTGGCTGATTATGGGAACCGCCTGGGGAAACTTAAAAATCAGAAATTCTGATTCCAGTAATCTGTTTTCCTTTTAAGAGCTTCCCCTGATGACTTTGCTATTTGGCCAGGGTTGAGACCCTCTGTCTTAATCAAAACATCTCCACTTAAATTCGACTAATTTCAGTAAACTTCGCACATCATACATTGATCCCGGCTCATAAGTCTTACGCGTGTACTATATTTTAAAGAATTAAGTAAACAGAGAAAGAAAACTGGCGTTTGCTAGTCCATGACTAAAGGCTCAGTCCTCCATTTGTGAATAGACTTTGCAGCACTGAAGTGGACTACGTGGTTAAAGTTAATCTGTGTGCATCTGGAGGGTCTTTTCAAGAAAAGACTGTTAACAACACTCTCACTCTCACATATGTACTCATTTGTCCTAAACTGGGTGGGATCATGCTGTAAGGTTAGCTAGCCACGAGGGTCTGATTTAATCATGGTTCCTGGCGGCATCCAGCCAGAGAAGGCACACGCTCTTTAAGGCAGGATTCACCTCAGACCGCTGACTCCTCCATTTCATCACGCGTATGTTGGAGCCCCGAGACTCAGAGATGCGGACTGGATCTTTCAAAGAGGTTCTTAACAGCAATCCACCCACCAGGCTGCTTCAGGGAAGAAGCTCCTCAACCCTGACTCCCAGCCACAAGCTCGGGAAACTCACACAGACTCCACGACAAAAGTCTATTGTCACCCATCTCAGTTCAGAAAATGGTCTATTCATGTTCCCTGGTTTCTGACTGTGGGCTCCCCAAGACCGTGGGGCTGTCCTAATAACTCATGTATCAACAGAACTTATTACAGGTTCCTGCACAAACGAGATGAGCACAATATTTGTTGAATGGAATTTTTCCCTCCTATTGATAAAGGTACTAACATCTTCACAGAGTTGTGACTCTTTTAAATGTTTCTCAAATATTTTAATTTCAAAATCTCTAATTTTGAGTAAACTGTTGTCACTGTAAATGCTGTGCCTGGGCCCTATATTGGCAGGCTATCTCTGTTTCTGATAAGTTTCCTCAGGGGGCAGGCAGGGGGCAAGAACTTGCAGCTTCCAAAGGGAGGCTGAACCCCCCCCCCCCCCACCATGCAGACCCTGCACAGAGCAGCCCAAAACTGAAGTTTTGTCCCTGAGCTCCTCACCCATCCTGAGGGTAGAAAAGAATCGAGGTCTAAGAAGTCAGGAAGTTAGAGGAGGAAAGGATTTGTCAACAGTTATCTGGAGGAGGAGGGGCTTCAAGGAGCTCATGGAGAGCCTGGATGGGACGCTTGTTGCTTAGGCACACAATAGAAGCGTCTGACTGGCGCTTGAGTTGAAGCTCTCCGCAGAGAAGCTGGTGAGCAGGCTTGTGCATTAGCACAGAGGTTCACAATAGCTGTTCTCCAAAAAACGCTCGCTTCTCTGGAGTAAAAGAACCTAATGCTGGTATTGACTTGGGGTCTTATTCATGGGACCCCGCCCAAGGAGATTCCTGCGAGGGAAGTAATCTGACCAGAAGGAGGCTGAGGGAAGATCATAGATTGTAGCTGAAGGAGAAGCACCACCCTGCGGTGGAGCTGTGGGTGGAAAGGCTTGGTCAGGACCAGTTTTGTAACTTGTGGGGCCCAGTGAAAAATGAAAATGCGGGGGTCTCTTGTTCAAATATTATTAAAATTTTCAAAGCAGTTACAACAGAGCGTGAAGCCAAGCATGAGGCCCCTCTGAGCATATGGTCCTGAGCATCCACATGGGGCTCACACCCATGAAGCTGGCCCTGGATCCAGTGGTGGAACCACACAGCTTACAAACCCCCAAAAATTTGCCTCAAGAGAAACAGGCATAAACGTCTGTGATAGCTGGAGAAAATCAAAGTCAGCTTGCAGAAATGTCAATGAAAGGCATCTCTTTATCTCTCTTCCCTCTTCCTCTCCAGGAGTCAGAAGCAGCCTAGTGAGTGGGAAGATGCGTAGGATCCACCTGAAGGTTTGGGACCGCCCCACCAATTCTCCCCACTGCAGGCTTTGAGTGGGAAGCAGACAAAAACGAAGGGAGAAGTTTAACTTTACATGAAGTTTAGTATTTTAACTATTATACAAGGTGGACATTTTAATTACTGAAATGAAGTAATTTTGGGGAGGAAACAAAAGTAACTTGAAAACGTTTTTTTAAACATCTGAGAAATTATGAGACTTGCCCAAGATTTTATCCAAAATGGCAATGAAAAAGAAGCAGATGTACTGCCATAGATAGGTATGCAGGGTGGTGACGGGAAAGAACAAAGGTACTTTATGAACGTGCCCTAAGACTTCTGCTTGTTCAGTGTAATGTTGCAACTATTATTTATTTACTCAAACTTCTCTGGGTAAACACACACACACAAACATGCATGCCCACACACATGGATTGACATTGGGATATACTTACATGAACCTAAAAGATTATTTGAGGTGAAGAAGTTGAACTCCTGATTTAATTGAGCAATGTCTCATAATTACCTGATTTAATTGAGCAATGTCTCATAATTACGTCAGTTATAAGCCACTGTAAAAACAGAACTGATGAAACAAAAAAGTGGGCATTAAAAACATGTTTTTGTTGCGCCACTTATATGACAGAAACTTTCTAGGAATCTGAACTAGAGAGTGGGGGAAAATAACTCTAGACCAAGGAAGAAGTACAATAAAGGGCTTTTTGGCGAAGTGTTTAAATTTGAAGTTATAGTTAAATGATCTGCAAGGTACAGGCAAGAAATGTGCTTTGACTGCCCTCCAGCGGTTTTAACTTATCACTGCAACATCTCTAACCGCTTTAGAAGTGAACGTTTCCATCACATGCACATCTTAGAAGCTATTGGACAAAGGAAATCTGGAACGATGATCTTCTATTTTGAAATATTTTCTAAATAAATAATTAAATGGACCAAGTAGCTCTGTGTATTGTGTTGAAATATGTCCACGCTACACGGATTTGCAACATTGTTGCTTTTGTCTTCTTTTGAAGTTTGTCTGTAACTTCTTCCCGAGCTCTGTTAGCTGGTCAGGGTTTGGGCAGGGCGAGGGTTTGGAGAAAATTTTATCTTCCAAACTAAGCGTTGAAAACGATCTTATTCCAAACAAACATTGAGAGAGCCCCGCTCGAGCGTCCGAGTGGGGCTTGCCTCCGCCGCCTGCGCCTTCCGCTCTCGCCGCGCGGGCCCTCCCAGCGCGCTGGGTCTGTGCGCACCTGGCAGCTGGGTGCACCGGGTTGCTGCCTTGGCTTCTCCTGGGCTCGGTCTGATGCTGCCAGCCCCTGAGTTCATCTGTGCCCTCCCCCGCCGCCCTGCCTGAGGACGTTGCTTGCAGCTTCTGCTTCTCGGCCCTTTATTCCCGACCAGGGCGGGGCTGTTCACGTCTGCCGGTTCTCAGTAGCCTGCTCCTTCACACCCCACAAGGAAGCACAAAGAAACGTCTAGATGCCCTCACATCACAAGGGAGAGCGTGTTGATGCAAGGGATGTGTCTTGGGCCCTCTTTCGTCTGAAACCTCCTACTAACCGAATTTTAGCTGCATCAGAATCTTCTGGAAGGCTTGTTAAAACACGGATATCTGGGTCCACCCCCAGAGTTTCTGATTTAGTAGTTCTGGGGTGGGTTCCAAAGACTTACATTTCTATCAGGTTCCTAGATAATGCTGATGCTGTTGGTCCAGGACCACCCTTTGCAAACCACAAGCCTAAACCAGCACTTCTCCCAATTGTTCACATCAAGGTGTACATACAAACCAATAAGATTCTTACTTCACACAGGGTCACCCTAAGGCGCAGGCGAATGCTCTGGGTATATGCTGTCTTGATTAGTCTTCTCCTCCCCCTGCCAGAACCACAGGGCATCTTTCTTAGCTCTTCCCCGTGAGAATCTAGTGGGATTCCAGGAGATAAAAACCGGGAAAGAATTGCCCTCTCTGAGCCTGTGGCTCCCAGGACTCTCTCACTCTGCACTAGTCTACATTCGGCCTCCAGCAATTTGTTAAAATTACCACTTTGGGGTTCCTACCAGCCATCGCTCTAGTGACTTCTGCCCCAGGTGAACTACTCAGCTGTGACCATCTGGATTCTCCTGTGTATCATTTTGCTATGGCTGCTGTAACAGGTCGCCACAAACTTCACGTCTTAGAACAATTCATATTCATTTTCTTATGGTTCTGGGAGTCAGGAGTTTGCATGGGTTTCACTGGGCTCCAGTCAAAGAGCCAGCAGGACTCATTGTCAGAATGTCATTCTGCACGCTCTCCAGGAGAATCTTTTTCCTTGCTTGCACTTTCCAGAGCCCGCCTGCTTTCCTCCTTGGCTGACCCGTGCCTCCATCTTCTGCACCATCACCACAGGGCTAAGGCCCCTCCCCTGCCACCTTCAGGACTCTCTTCTATCTCCCTCTTCCACCTTTAAGGTCCCTTGTGATTACATTGGGCCCAACCAATAATCCAGGATAATCTCCCTATTTCAATGTCAGTAGATTAGCAACCATGACTCCATCTGTTACCTTAGTATCCCTTTGCTGTGTAAAGTAACATATTCACAGGTTCAGGGATCAGGACGTGCACTTCTCTGGGCGGCCGTCATTTGGCCAACCACCGCCTGTCTGTCCAGATTTCAGGGGCGGTTTGCCCTACAACCTCAGTTCTCTGATGGATCCAAGAATGGTTGCCAATTTTCCATTTATTCAGCTTTCTGTTATTTTAAGGACAGGAGTGATGAATTCTAAGCTCTTTACATGTCGGGGTAACACCAGAGGTAGTGGGTACTTGATCGCACTAGATCTGGAGCCTTAAATAGAGTAACTGAATCACTTTCATCTTCTGTCTCCAGCGTTAGACACACAAGTTTTAAGGGACAGGATGTGGAAGGAAGTTCATCTCTCCATTATAAACACTTTGCTTTAAATTTGAAGAATTCAGAGAAAAAGTAAAACGTTTACCTTTCTCGGAGAGTGTTCATGTAGTCTTTCGAAAGTAAGCAAGACGACAACTGCAGCAGACACAGAGAAGGCTATCACTGAGTTATAATCGGAAAGCCATGCCTTCTATAATGTTGGACATATTGTGCACTTCAGCCAAGGTGTATATCCTATTCCAATTAATTAGGGCACTCTGGAAAGTCAAAATATCTACAGCATATTATTCTAGGGGAGTTAAAATGTGTGTGTATATCACATAAACTACTTTCTTGCCATAGTTTAAGAGTATGTATAAATACAACTCTAAAAGCCAAGGGTTTAATATTAATCTTTTAGGAAAAAATTCCTGAAAATTACAAACTGCAATGTCTAGACATTGTTGCTGAAATGTACGTGATTGAAGAAGATAGTTGCAAAATGACACAGGAGTGTGCTGGAGGATTTAATGTGCTCTCAATCCAATATGAAATACATTGTTGCGCTATTATGTATACATTATTAATCACTAGGGTCCATAATTTCATGATACTTATGTTAACTCTTTTTGGAATCTTTTAGATAAATGTTAATGTGCATTTTTCATCTCTCTCTGGCAAAAAGTCTCAAAATAAACTCTCCCCTCTCTTGCCTTTCTACAGTATAACTACATAGTTGGCTGGGGACATAGGGAATGTGATAGGTTGTAAGGCATCTGATTCTTTACCAGAGTGTATTTCCCATCCTGTTACATCAGAGGGTGCAAACTGGCAGCCTCAGATAAAGTTTGGTCTGCAGACACCTTTTCTTTGGGCCGTATCTTTTTTTTTAAAAAAAAAAAAAATCAATTTCCAGCAGTTAAAAATTAGAAGAGTTAAATTTTAAAATGTGGGGTTTTCGACTTTTTTTATTGGAAGCGTATTTCCATCAGTCGACAGAAGACTGAACTGAGGAGAAATTCCCTGCTTGGGGAGGAGCCAGGGAGGCACCGGACAGCGCGCCTCATCAGCTGGCGGAGTTCCCGCCCCTCTCTGTTGCATTACACGCAGCCTGTGCTTTACTGTCCTGGGAGGCAGATGAGCGTGCACCCTCTGACACTGTCCTCTGCCGCTTCCGTCATTGGCTCAGATGGTGAACATCCAGCAATCTCATTATAGTGGCCATGAGGACGCAACTACACAGGAGTGCCTATCCACACACGTTCCAGTGTCCGTAAACAGCGGAGTTTGCTAATCAGTGTCTATAATAATTGGTATGCTCTAAAATATGTAAGCCACAGTTGAAAGGAAGTCCCATAGGCAGATAATATCTGGCTCATTTTTTGTAGCATGATTAATTATACCACAAAAAGCGTTTTTAAAATCCATTCGGCATTCTTTGAGCTCCTGAAACATAAAGAACACTCAGACCCAAATGGATTTAAAGCTAACAGCCAAGAGTGAGGGTTGGAATGTAGAGACCTTTAAGAAACCAGGAGTGAGAGAGGCAGCCTTAAAAGGTGGGCAGAGTGCTGAGCACGCTGGGCTCTTCCCCTCACTCTTCTCAAAGCATCTCTGCTTCTGAGTGCCTTTCTTACAATGCCTCTTCTTCACTCACCTTCTTTCGATTAGTTTCCCCTCCTAATTTTAACCCTCACACTGCTACACTGTGGCCACTCCAGCCTACGACCTCTATCAGCCACCCTTGGTTGGTTCACTGAGAAAGGTCTCTGAATGGTCTAGTCTTTCTTTTGAAACCAGGCCCAGAAGTCATAAGACAACGTGCAGCTTCTGGGTTGGTGGCTTTTAGCTAGGAGCGAGCCTTGCCCAGTTAGTCACAGCCAATGATGTATTAACAACGTCGTGATCATCATCGCTGTCATCTCTTCTCATCACGATCCATACCATTGCTAGCATTTCATAGATGCTTACTGTGTGCCGGACAATGTCCTAAACACTCTAGACATGATTCATTTAATCCCAGTAGCAACTTACGAGGCAGGCACTATTTTGACCGTCTTTTATGAATGAGGCCAGTGAGCATGGTTGTGCACGCTCAGCAGGGACTTGAAGTCAAGGGCAGCTTCCCTTCCAACTAGCTGAGGGTGGGACAAGCAATAATAGATGTGTCTAGAACAAACTATTTTCCCTTTGGTCTTGCAAAATAGGAGGTTCACAGAGAATGACAGGATAATCCCTTCATTGAGAAATTACTAAAACTGGCTTGCGATTTGCTTCGTTTGCACAGTCGTGCATCTCTCTAAATGTTTTACAGGCTAGTACAGTCAGCATTTGGGACAGGGCAAATCCGGAGCCAGATTTTAAAATACAGAGCTCTTCCGCTCCCGTCCCCCTTTCTGAGCTCCTGGATCCCATGGAGCTCCTTTCTTTCTAGTCTCTTCGGCTTTCCTCACTCTCTGCTGTTGCCGTCTCCTCACAGTGGACCCTTTCGTTCCCTCCTCTGAAGACTTAATCTCACCCTCAAATTTAGACCACACTGAGAACATGGGACTTGACAAGGTTGGGCAGGGGCCAGATGGGGGCATACCTGAGAATGAAAGCTTGCTGCTCCGTCTGAAACACCTGGATAGTCACAGGTTTTCTGCAGACTTGGTGTCTAAAGGTCAGTCGCAGGCCCTGTGATGAATTCCAGGAACAAAGGTGGGACCTCAGTTGAGGACCAGCAGACACATACAAGCCAAAGGGTAGCTTGATGGTGGATGCAGACACATCTAGTGCTCCAAGAGGAGGAACTAAGCAGAGGGAGTGAGTCGGAAGCCAGAGGGAGCTTTGGGGAGAGTGAACATGGCACAACAAACTTTGCCCAGAGGATGTTGTGTCAGCGTTCTTGTAACCACACTCCCTTGGGAGGAGGGGAGGGGAAGGGTTGTAACTCTATTTGTACACAACACAGACAGACTTCTTGAAGATAGCTACATGCTCACTGGACCACCGAAAACCACATGCTCCACATTCCTTCCACTAGGTGGTCTCAGTGGGCCTCCGCTTGTTCCCTCCTTCCTACAGCAAATGCTTGTTGAGTCTTTATCATGTACCAGGTACTTTTCAGATGCTGGGGGGCTAGTGGTGAATAAAACAGTCATGCTCTTCCACCCAAGGAGTTCCCACAACAGAGGTGAAGATAGGAAATAAACAGAAAATCTACTGGGATTTCTATTGCCAACATCTACCTGATGTGCTCTGCAGACATAAGGCCACCCTCACCACGGAGCCCCCATTAAGACAGAAGTTGCCTCCCAGCCTCTCTGCAGGCCTGGTGGGTAAGCATCAAGCCGGCTCAGCTCCCTCTCTAGGACCTCCTAGCCCATGTTTCTTCGGGGATGAGTTATGCCTCCTGCCCAACTTCCAAGATTTTCTTTATTTTTAGACTCTTGGTGTCTCAATGTTCTTTTCTTTGTATCCCAACCAGCCTTCAGAAAATAATCTAATGTCAGTCATGTGTCCCTTAATATGAATTTAAATCATTGTACCACCTCTCCTGGGGACATGGCCATTTTACTCCTTAGTTTGAAATGTTGAATGAAAGTGGCTTTCCCTTACTAAAGAAATTTGAAAATCAGGATATAAATAAAGTAAATACCAGAGAAAGAGCCTGTCCAAATACACACCTTCTTCATTATGTGTAAGGCTGGCCTTCTTTCAGTGTTTCCTCTGGTTTTAATTAGAAGCAAAAAGTACCTCACGCCTTCTACAAATGCTCGAGGGTAACAGAACCATGCTGCCTTTTCCTCCTACTCCCAAGCTTGCATCTTCTAATGACAGCTGTTGGCCAGTGGTTCTCTGTTCATACAGTGTCAGCTTCCAAAAAAGGGAGGACTCAGGCAGCACAGGGTAGCCGGCCTTGTACGGAGGAGAGAGTCAGCTGGAAGTCCGCAAACCGTTCTCACTAAGGGGATGTTGACTAGATAGGAAAAGCTTCCAAAATAAACCTAAGTAGCTGAAAAGAGCAGTGTCTGCCATTGCCTCATGTTGAAGTTAGGGCAGAGCACACCTATTTATCCTGACAATTTAAGACCTCATTAACTAGATACTGCTTAGGGCAAATTAATTATGTAGAAAGAGAAAGCAGCCGTCAATGCATTTATTGAGTGTCCCTATTATTAGAACCTTTATGTTTTATACTCTGTGTAGGGTGGAGACAAGACCTTGCTCTATAAATGATCAGGAAGGTGTTTCTTCTGTGTTTAAGTCAGACTAAAAAGTGTCCAGCTATGTACTAACGGCAACCCAGTCTCTAAAAATAAACTCTGTGTCTGTTACTTACAATGCTGGCTTCATTGAGAGTCTATTTTACATGGTTTTTCCATGGCCAGAAAAAAAAGAGGTGTGGTTCTCACTCCAAACACTTTTGAAATCTGTTTGATGATTTGGAAGGACCCATAAAACGCCTAAGGATTACTCATGTGTTGCCGGCTTCAGAGTAACCGACATGATCGTAATGATTGTTTCTTAACTCCCTACAGATGTTGGAAAATTACAAGCCTAGTGCTTCATAAAAATATCTCTCTACCTATGCCTGGTTCCTTTATTTTAATGAATGGAATTCTTTAAAAACTTGGACTTGTGCACGTTTGGTTTCTCTAGGCAATAATTAAGGTTAATTGATTGTGCAAAGCTCCAGAAAATTGAAACGGAATTGCTATATTTAATGACCTTCTATCAAAAGAAAACAAGTTTTGTTTTTTTGTTCATTTTTGCTTTTACTGCCTTATTTTTGTCCTTATAGTTTATTGAAGGATGGATAATGATGCTTATCTGGGGGAGATGGGGAGACGAGAACAGGGCAAATTTTCCCAGGTCCCAACATTTTCTTATAGAATCAGATTCTTTGAAACGAGAAGTCGTACAAGAAGAAGCAATACAGGCCACCTTTTGTAGGTTTCCTTTCCCACTTTTCACATGTTGGAAACTGATGCCCAGAAATATGAAGTCATTTATGATAGTGACAAATCCACGGGGAAAAGAGACTAGGATCTATGTTCTCCAGCCTTCTGGTCTGGTGCTCTTGTCACTTAGAAAGAAAAACGATGGGACGGAGACTTTTATGAATATAAGGAAAATTTAGTAAATTTCTTTAGATCGTTATGTGTTCATAAAGTTTTATAGTAAAGCTTTTGGAAAGCTTTCATAAATGGTGAAGAACTGAGCCCACCATGTGAAAAAAAAGAAAAATGAGAGAGAGAGATGGAAACATGTTTTACTTGTAATATTTTGCTGATAGGGTCGGGAATATTTTGGAGAGGCTAGAATGGACAGCCAGGACATACTGGTAGTTGAGAAATTAAGCTGACCCTCAGTACAGCTCCCTGCTAGTGAAATATACACCAAAGCAAGCATATTCACTGGATATTTCTAGACCCAGAAAACAAAACCTACTTTATTCAAACCGTGTAACTACCAGGGGTCTTCATTGGAAGTAACTAAAACTAATTCCAGATGAGTTACATCCAAAAGGAATTTCTCAAAAAGATTATCAGATACTCACAGAATTTCCAGAAAAGCTGGACTGAGGCTCAGAAAACAGGCAAGAACCAAGAAGGACTGAGCACCAGGAACACAAATAAATTTCCTCCTCAGGAAACAATGGGATGGACATGGTGGCCACAGCTGCAGGAGGCCAGATGCTGCCCTTGCCAATCTGGGACATTGCCTGCTACTGGCGCTGTGGTCAGTGCTGACTCTGGAACTGTGGTCCCTGCTACCTGCACTAGGACAAAATCTCCTTTGTCCCTGCATCTTTGCATCACTTGCTCCAGAGTGGATTTACTGGCTGACAGTGTCTGACTGGCAACATCAAGGTTGTTCGCCTTTATCCTAGCTCCACAAAAGCCGCAGATGAGGCACCTGCCACTTCTTACTTTCATGGACATCAAGAGTAATGAATAATTCCTTACCCCATTCCTTGCCCAAGAAGGAAGGATGTGTACATGCAGGCAGCCAACCCCACCCATGATATCAGCCTGACAGATATCCAGAGCAGAGCGTGTTTATATTGTTCAGTTAGAAGGGAAAATTGGCCATTTTCAACATCTACATAATAAGCAGTTAAAATGATTAAGAAAAGAACTGCATAACCCAATGGATGTACAATAGCATCCTTCCCTCCGAACTCTCAACCAAGCCACTATCAGCTAGTTGCATTACCTTGAACAGGTTCCTTCCCATCACTGATCCTGTTTCAACATCTTACAAATGAGGGAGTTGGACGAAGTGATCTTAAGGTCTCTTCTTGCTGTGATAGCCTGTAACTCAAACATGAGCATATCAAAGGAGAGTGGGGGCTTAGCGCTGTGGCCTGGTAAACTGGATCCCAAATGAGAGAGAATCAGTGAGGTTGAAAGCAGGTTTGTGCAGACAGACACAAAAGAAATCCAGGCTAAATTATTTTTTTTAAAAAAAAAAAAATCATCATTCACACTCTGATCCAGAAAAGGAAAAGATTTTTAAAAATTCTTCTCAAGGAGTAAAATATTTCTGTCACTAGCTGGAAAACAGGAAGTCATATGCTACAAAGGCAATTGGAGTAGCTGATGTGGATTTGTTGGTGAGAATTGGTTCTGATAAAGCAAAATGGACACAAGAGAGCTTGGTGGACCAGGACTGTATTTGTTTCTGCATCAAGATAATCACGGTTGTCATTTTCATTGATATTGTTGGCATCGTCTGGAAGGCTTCCATTTCTAATTCCTAACTTGCCAGCTACTTCCTATAATCTGAAGCTCTTTTTTTAATCCCAAGAGGCTCTGAAGATGATAAAAAATAAAAACTTGTTGAAAAAGAATTAAATATCCAGCAGTTACTTTCAGATTGATTAATAATATATAACAGAATGCCTGATTGTGACATACTATCGAAAGGGGTCTTTTTTATCTTTCTCAGATGTTTTTTCTGTTCATCTTTCATTGTTTACTATAGGAATCCTGTGACTCTCATGAGAATGTGGGGCCAGGAATCCTGTGACTCTTTATTTTTATAGAAAGAATATCATTTGGAAGAATGGACTCTAATTTGATCTCTGTCTCAAATCCTGAAATCCTGAATAGAGTTTGCTTTAAAAGGCAACTTGCTGTAGGTAAAGCAAAGTGAGAAAAATGAGGCCAGCCTTTGATCACAATGCTTAACACTCGGTCCTGTGGATAGATAACCAACCTTGAAGTTACTGAGGGGTTCTCCACTATTAGGGAGCAAGAGGAATAATCTTCACATCTCTATTGTATTTACCGAGCTGTCTCCTGACCATGATGTGTTTTTTAAACAATCTTTGCACAGTGTTCCACTTTTAATTTGCCTTATCATCAAAGCACATTTCACTCTGAGCCTATTTTCTCCAAATGTGAAATTTTCAAATTGGAGTAGTCAATACACCCACTCTTATGATCATGTGTCGAAGATCATCATGTGTTAGTGTATTAATAATCAGTTTCATAATACTGCATACACAAATCAGCTTCAGAGAAGAAAATCTTGGGATATGGTGGCATAAATTAGAAAATGTATGCAGAGAATGATTTATAGACATATCAACATTAAAACATTTGAAAAACTTACACATCTCTGTGGACCATCTTAATTCTCTTTTGGACCTTTTCAGGTTAAATGCTCTTAGTGGAAGAGAGTGGAAAGAAGTGTGAATGGTCAGCAATATTCACGGGAGTTTTTGAGGTAAAGAAGCTAAATGGCTTCAAATAATTTTTGAGCAAAAATGACTATGCTTTCCCAATCATTAGTCACAGGAAAGGGGAATAAAAATAGAAGAGAATTATTTAAACAGAACTTTATATTCAAACATTTTAATTAAAAATTCATCAAATATTTAAACCGAAGAAGTATTTGCAATC